GGGGTAAGGGCATGTACCTGGGTTGCGGGCACATCCCCAGTGGGAGATGTGCAGGAGGCAGCTGGTCGATGTTTCTCTCTCATCGAAGTTTCTAACTCTCTATCTCTCTCCCTTCCTCTCTGTCTGAAATCAATAAAATATATATATTTAAAAAATTACACACATATATATGCATGCCAGGGCCTGAATTTGGGGATATAGTAATTAACAAATCAGACAAAAATCTCTCCCATCATGGGCTTATATTATAATGGGGGAAGCAGACTGTAAACTTAAATATGTGAATATAGCATTTGCCCATGGTGAGAGGTGTTATGGAGAAAAGTAATGCAGGGAGGTGCGTAGGGAGGTACTTTCCTTGGTTAGGGCTTCACTGGCTCACTTACAGGTCTTTGGCCACCAGAATTTATTTATTTATTTTATTAAATTTATTGGGGTGACATTGGTCAACATGAACATATAGGTTTCAGGTGTGGGTTTCTATATGACAAGATCTGTCTATTGTACCGTGTGCCCACCACCCACAAATCTCCTGTCACCGCCACCAGAATTTAATCTCTGATCTTTTGCCTTGGAGGAATGATAGTGATGACAATGGTGGCACTAGTTACTAGACACCATGCTAGAGGCTTCTCTTATCTTATATCTAATCATTACAATAACCCTGGAGGACAGCTTATGTCCCCATTCAGAATATGAGGAAACTGAGGCACGGGATAATTAAGTAAGTCTTACAGCCAGACAATGTCTGAGCCAGAGCTGATTGCCCTGGGGCAGCTACTCTGAGGTCCACAGGTTGTATTTGTGAGGCACCAGAAAGCCCAAGACCCTCTCCCACATCTGGGAAGCCAAGGGGAATTTATCAGGCAAACCAAACTGATGGTAGGCCTGTCTGTCACCTCAATGCATCGCTGGCCACCTGTCCCTAGACAGAGACTGGGTTTAGACATTCACACTGGACCATACATGCAGGATGTGGGTCTGGCAGCAATAAAACCATAAGATTACCTCCTGTAATGGCTGCGCAAAGGGCCAGGAAATATTTGTGCCCGGGTGTCCAAGCTTTCCTGGAGGAGGGATGGGCATCTCTTAGTCTGGGGATTATTGGTGTCACTCATGGCAGAGTTTTGTGGATCCCTCCCTGTGCCCAGCTTTGGGCCTGCTGTGAGCTGTAGGTGGATTGGGAAGGGTCCGGTGTGGCCAGGACCCGCAAGGAGCTTGAGGTGCAGCCAAGGAGCTCAGACATCCTCACAAGCCGAGAGCAGATAGGATGACAGCAGCATATGAGGAAACTGAGGCACGGGATAATTAAGTAAGTCTTACAGCCAGACAATGTCTGAGCCAGAGCTGATTGCCCTGGGGCAGCTACTCTGAGGTCCACAGGTTGTATTTGTGAGGCACCAGAAAGCCCAAGACCCTCTCCCACATCTGGGAAGCCAAGTGGAATTTATCAGGCAAACCAAACTGATGGTAGGCCTGTCTGTCACCTCAATGCATCGCTGGCCACCTGTCCCTAGACAGAGACTGGGTTTAGACATTCACACTGGACCATACATGCAGGATGTGGGTCTGGCAGCAATAAAACCATAAGGTTACCTCCTGTAATGGCTGCGCAAAGGGCCAGGAAATATTTGTGCCCGGGTGTCCAAGCTTTCCTGGAGAAGGGACGGGCATCTCTTAGTCTGGGGATTATTGGTGTCACTCATGGAAGCAGAGTTTTGTGGATCCCTCCCTGTGCCCAGCTTTGGGCCTGCTGTGAGCTGTAGGTGGATTGGGAAGGGTCCGGTGTGGCCAGGACCCGCAAGGAGCTTGAGGTGCAGCCAAGGAGCTCAGACATCCTCACAAGCCGAGAGCAGATAGGATGACAGCAGCATGGGGGTCACCAGGCCTGATCCCTCCTGACGTGGCCACTAACCCTCTGAGTCCACCACTGCCCATGTAGGGGGCTGGCAGGGGAGCTCTGAGGTTCTCTCTAGTCTGAGACTGAAGTGAAGGTGCATGATGAGGATGAGAGGTATGCAGAGAGACTGCAGGGAAGGCCCCCTAGCTGGGAGAGAAGAGAAGAGGCGGAAGGATGAAGACGGAAGCCAGGTGAGCATGCCCCTGGCCTCCGCAGGGCCTGGCGCAGCAGAGGGCTTAGTAGCTCCTGGCTGCTTTCTATTCAGAGCTGTGAAAAAGGCAGTTGTAGACTCCAGGGGGGATGAATTCCATTCCCTTCTTCTTTTTTTTTTAAAGGTCGCTTTTTTAAAAAATATATTTTATTGATTTTTTACAGAGAGGAAAGGAGAGAGATAGAGAGTTAGAAACATCGATGGGAGAGAAACATCGATCAGCCGTCTCCTGTACATCTACTGGGGATGTGCCCACAACCCAGGTACATGCCCTTGACCGGAATCGAACCTGGGACCCTTCAGTCCGCAGGCCAACGCTCTATCATCCGCTGAGCCAAACCGGTTTTGGCTCCATTCCCTTCTTCTTTTTTTTTTTTTTTTTTCCATTCCCTTCTTAAGAGCAGTTCTGGGAGAGCAGACATGAAGCCTGGGTGATGGGGCATCTCTAACGGGTGAGGGGCACACACCTAGCTCTGCGGATGGTCTTGCCCATGGTCTCCCATGTTCAGGGTTTGGCCGAGTCCTGGCCATGTGGACCTGTGGTGAGTTAGAAGGAAACGCAAGCTCTCTGGGGAAGTCCCAGCATATGGCATCCCCCTCACGCTCCATTCCTTTGGAAGACCCCAGCCCAGCAAACATTCGGGGCCAGGGAGGGGCTGTTCACTGCACCTTGTATGCAGTGTGGGGCCCTCACTCTCACCCCACTTCCCTTTTTCTCCCACAGTGCTTCCTCTGGAGAGGCAGCTCCACGAGGCTGCCCGCAGGAACAACATCGGGAGGATGAAGGAGCTGATCAGAAGCAGAGTCAACATTAGGGCCAGAAACCACGTGCGTAACCAGGCTCCTCCAGCTCCAGAGGGTGGGGACAGTGTGGCCGGGACGCCTCCCCTCAGGAGGGAGAGTTTATGGTGTCTGCATCTGCATCTGCATTTGCAGGTTGTCCACATTGTCTCAAGGTCTCTGAGGCCTCACCCCAAGTCAGGGTCAGGATTCTGAGCCAAACTTGGGCAATTCCAGAACTTATACTCTTATAAGTTACTAGAGTCCTGATGCAGCCCAGCTTCATCCGGAAGGTTGTTCAGAAGGACATGGGGAAGATTGTTGGGCTGTCTAGTCTAATTAGCATATTACACTTTTATTATTATAGACTAGAAGCCCAGAGTGCGGCCCCGCCCACCCGCGCGGCCTCGCCATGCTTGAAGCCCTGCCCACCCGCACCAGTCGTTAGGGCCACAGACCTTTTATAATATAGATACTGTGACCCATCTGAAAGGCATACCCAAGGAAGGTCAGGAGTCAGAGGCTGACAGATAGGCAGATAGGAGCAGAACCTGGAGGGACAAAGGTGGAGTGATGCCTGAGGTCAGAAGTCCAGGGGTTTGAGACCAAGAGAGACCAGACCAAGAGAGGCCGAGCATGCATGAGGCAGCCATCCAGCTCAATTCTCTGAGAGCCCTCTGTGCCCACTGAATGTGTCAAGTTGCTGTGGGCCCCCGCCTGCCCTCAAGGACTCAAAGACCAGGCTGGGAGGCAGATCAGCCCAGCTGATCAGGCCTCGGGGAAGGCTACAGGTGAGGTGGTCCACAGCCCAGCTGGGGAAGAGGACAGAGGGCAAAGCCATTCCTTCTGGCGGGGGACACTGAGGATAGGCCTGAGTACCACCGGGGTAGCAGCTCCTGCCTCGGGGCTCTGGCTGTCAGGAGCACCTTAGAGGAGATGCCAGCTTGGGTGCTAGTCAGTGGAGGCTGAAAAGGTTGGATGCAGGGTTTCTGACCGCAGCAGAGGCTGCCCTGTCCGGGTGACACGACAGGGGTATGACCTGGGTCTCCAGAGCCTTCCTGGGACTCAGTAACAGTAACAGGATTTCTGAGGTTTTCAGAGCACTCATCCGCCTGTTTCCTGGTGATCCTCACCCTCCCCTAGAGAGGGGAGGGGGCAGAAAGTGTTAGTCCTGTTCATATTTTAGAGCAGGCACAGATCGGGCAGCAAGTAAGCTGAGGTCACACGGCGAGTTATTGATGACTGGAGCCTTGGTCTCAACTCCTGGACACGCACTAGCAAGGAAGCGTGGATTTGTTGGATGATAGGATGCTAATGCCAGACTCATTCATTCACTCACTCACTCATTCATTGATTCATTCAATCAATAAATATTTATTAAGGGCTTACTGCTCTGTGCCAGCACTGTGCTAGGTGCTAGCGATAGAGCAAAACCCATGATGCAATCCTCTTGGAGCTGATAGTCTAGTTGGGGAGGACTGACATTAAACTGAGTGACAAACAATTCATTTCCATGGTGGTAGTTGAGCTCCATGGGGGTCGGAGGAATCTGCCCCACCTGAGGGACGGGGAGGCTTCTTGAGGAAGAGGTGTTTTTGTAGGAGCCAGTGAAGGACAGTGTTCCAGGCGGAGACACCACTCCGAAAATTAGTGTTTCTTTCATTGTCACCTCACAAGCAGAAAACTATGGAGGGACACTGGCTTCCACCAGGCCTGCTCGGATGTCCGAGGGCCAGATGCCATCATAAACTGCCAAGGTGGTGTGAGAACTAGGTGGGGG